ATAGAGCTTTTCAGAGTGCCAGTCTCTCTACAGAGTGGGAGCAATTTCCCTGTAATTGGTAAAGTAACCGTAACTGCTCTGTCATTTGTATGTAGCGACACATAATTGCACGGTAACCTTTGCCGCTGTGCGCGAGGGAAGCGCAGGAAGCTATTAGATTGCAATTTGGAGTGTCAGCTCTGGCTCTCCACACCACCTCCACCACCACCGCTGGGGAGGCTGCCGTGGGGCCTCTGCGTCCCGGGGCCAGTAGGGCCTGCTCAGAGTGGCTGTGCTTTCTCTCCCCGGGCCTGGTCTGTGGCGCCCCTGGCAAGGAAGGGGACCTCCATGGCGATGATGCAGGTCCCTGAGTCTCATTTCCAGGGGTCCCGATCCAATGATCCGGAGGCCATGCAAGAATTTGTGTTTCTTTCTTTCCTTTTTTTTTTTTTTTTTTTTAAGACACAGAGAGAGTACGTGCACATGTGCAAACAAGGGAGGGGCAGAGGGAGGGAGAGAGGGAGAGAACCCCAAGCAGATTCCACACCTGGCTGGGAGCTGATCTGGGGCTACATCTCACCAGCCATGAGATCATGACCTGAGATGAAATCAAGAGTCAGACGCTCAACCAACTGAGCCGCCCTGGTGCCCCAAGAATTTGCATTTCTGATGAATAACGCTAAATGTTCTGGATCTTACACTATTCCTCTGTTCCTTCCTACAGCCTCACAGGCCTCGTAGATCTTTAGGAAGTACCACTTTTGAAATTTCATCTTGATAACATTAGTCTTCTTAGTTGTGATAACACCTCTCTGAGGTAGATACCATGAATTTCCCTAAAAACATGAGCCTCCCAAAGGTTGTCTGAATTGTCTAAGGATGACAAACGATATGAGCTAACATTCCCATAGCACTTAGGAAGCGTCAGACAGCGTTCTATGTGCATTAAATCATGTAATCCTTACCACAGCACTAGGAAGTATATACTCATATTATTATCCCCATTATACCAATGATAAGCTGAGACACAGAGAGGGTAAGTGACTTGCCCAAGGTCACACAGCGCTAAGTGATGGAGCTGGGATTCAAATCTAGACATTCTGATTCTAGTTCCTCAGTGTTAACCACTGTGAAACTCAGGCTTTTATTTGCTCATCCATCCATCCATCCATCCATCCATCCATCAATTTAACATCCGTCTTAACCTTCTATGAAGCTAAGGCCACAAAGACACATAAAACATGGTCCTGTGTTTGAGCTCATAGGCCCTGGAGTCCTGTGGATCACAGGTCTTAATTTATAAGCCATGTACCCGTGAGGACATTTGCGGAAAGCGAATTTGAGATCTTCCTGATTGGGGCAGAAGGGTGTGGGCCCTGGCCTGTTCACAGGGTTGCCCAAAGAGACACCACATATATTTTCATGGAACAGATCCTTATTTTTGCCTTGATAAGAATGAAGCTGCTCTCTAATAAATAAGCATTATACCAATGGCCAAAGCTCATTTGTGGGCATTTGTGGAGCAGCTGAGGGAGAGGTGTGGCTGGGCTCCTGATTACAGTGGGGTCCAGTCCACTCCTGGCTCCTCTGGCTGCCACTCTAATCTTGCTGTTAATGGGGCCCAGGGGAGGCTCGGCCAGGGCAAGAGCAGACACTCTCCTCCCCCACTGCCCAGGGTGTTCTGGAATCCACACCAGCCCTCACCTGTCAAAGGCTTTCACCAATTAGCCTTTTCTTCCAAGGCCCACACGGCCCTGGCATCTGCTCCTTACACCTCAGCCTCCCGGGTCTGTGGGCCCTGTGGGGTCCTCCCTCCTCCTCCCCCTGGTGCTCTAATTACCCTGTGGCTGCTCAGACCCAGCATGGTGGTGTCCTTAGAGAGCCTGCTCTGGTCAGGAGCCATGCTAGGGGCCAGATTTCCATTAAAAAAAACTAACATGAAATATCACCTTGAATTGACAAAGTGCTTTCCAGTTTACCCAGTGTCTTCACTCCCGTTTTCTCACCTGGCCCTCATGACAGTCCCGTCTTGCTGTATTACGGTCAAGGGGAAGTGAGGCTCAGAGAACAGGAATGCTAAGTTGTATAGTTAGGAAGCAAGCTGCCGTGTGAACCCAAGTCATGTGTGTGTTTTTTTTTTCTGTTATTTTAGTGTTAAAAACCCCCTTCCCGTTGCCCCTGCTTTGAGGAAACAAAGAGCAAGGACCCCTTGTGCCATAGCACCCATGCAGACCTGGGCTGCACCTGGTCCAAGGCCTTGCTCACATCTCTATCACCTGGGGCCCTATGTAGAGGGAGAAACCCATGCAAGGTGGGGGCGTGGGAGAAAGCCATCATTGTCCCTGGAATCCCAATGTCACATTGGGAACTCCAGCTGCAGCCTTGGCCTTCTCGGAGCCTGATGACGACACCCTGAGGTAGGCAGTGTCAGGCACAGGTGAGCTGACCAGCTGCCTCCCTCTCAGGGAGCTGTCACGAGCCGAAGACAGGCAGAGCCCTGGCCACCAGGCTTCCAGGCTGGGCTGTCCTTGCTTCTTCCCAATGAAAACATGTCTCCCTGGACCCCTTGCTGCTCAAGGTGCCATAGTGGCAGAGACTTGCTGCCTCTGAGCAAGCAATGATTTAATGCTGCAATTGGCCAACTCTTTGTGTAGGTGGTTGTTTATTTATTTGCTTGTGTTTTGCTCAGCCAAGGGGAAGAATGGTATTCAGTTACTGACCACTCAGAAATGTAATTCTGGGGGCTGAGGAGCCTAAGTCTCCCAGGTCAGTGAGGCACGCGTTTGTGCCAAGGGTGGTGGGAGACTGTCACACATGGCCTGCCTTGCCCTCTGCCTTAGTTTCTCCTTGTGTGGCGTGGCCAACCATTTAGTCTTATCTACTTGGTAAATGGTTCATAATAGGCAAGATATGTTTGCTAATGGCAGAAGTCTCTGTGGCACAGCTTAGAGCCAAGAAACTTGGGGACAAGGGCTCCTTATGAAGTGGAGGCAGGAACATGCAAGGCCACGAGGATTCCCAGCATGGCTTAAGCCTCCCCTGACATGCCTTTCTCGCAGGTCACCCTACCATTATGTCTGGCAGGGAGAAGACACCATCCTCCCTTTATCTGGATTTTTCTTTCTTTGTTTCTTTCTATCCCTTTTACCCTCCACCACCTGTCTCCTCCCCCATTTTCTCATTTTAGGAAAGAACCATAAAGATGAGACTAGACCTTGAAAGCTTGCTCCTGACTTTGACTTCTTATATTGTTTTCTAGCGGGGAGGAGCTGAGGGTCGTGTTTGGCCTGGGCTACTTGACCAGACCAAGCAAGAAAGGCCAGGGGGGATCAAAGGCGTGGAGCAGACATCTGCTCTGCACGTGGCTTCCCCGGGCCTTCCCCTGCTCTCTCCAGCCCTACCCTGACTGCCCCCATGATAAGAAGTAGGGGAGAGGTCAGGGAGAGGTTTTAGATGCTCAGCGTGTTGTCTTTCCTGAGATGGACAATCTTGCTCCCTCCATTCTAGGAGGGAGCCAAGGGGTCCCCCAAGTCTCCGGAAAGCTCAGAGTTGGCCACTTTCACATAGCTTTGCTGGCAAGAGCCTGCCTGCTGGTTCTCCAGATGCCTTTTCCTTTGGCTGGATTGAAGCCTTTAAAAAAGTGACACCTTGTATTTTATTTCACTCCTTTTTCTGCAAAGTCCAAAGACGTTTACAGGCATGAGCTCTATAGGCTTTATGGAAACCCATCAAAAAGCAGGGGTTGTTTCCTTCATCTTTATAGAGTGGAAAATAAAAGCACAGGAAGACAGAATAGCTCTTCTAAGGCCACACAGTTCTTCTTAGAAGGAGAGAAAAATCGGCGTAGGTTCCTAGAGCCTCGGAGAAGTCTGTGCCAGACCAGAGCTGTTCGGTGGTGGTGCTGGGGGCCCCTTGCCAGCCAGGGCAAGGTCTTCTCCACTTCCCAGTAGGACAGAACCCAACTGTGACCCTGTGCTCATGTGGGGATCTGGGAGCCTGGAATAAAACAGGGCGAGATTCAGCCAAAATGGGCCAAAGGTTTTTCCTGTTGGTTCCCTGGCTCCTGAAACTGTCTGGGATTCAGGAGCAAGAATTGGATCCATGAGTCTCACAGAGTATCTAGGGGATATTCTCTTTAAGGAATGCTAACAGGTGTCCCTTTAGGGAATATAGTGTTTGGGAAAGGCTAAAGGAATGTTAAACATATTTCTTCTTAAAAAGACTTTTCAGACCTTTCCTATAATTGTTATGAGCCTCCTACATAGTGTTAGAATGTACTATGTTTCAGTACAAAATAGTTTGCCCAAGGAGCCCTGTTTTCGTAGAGCATCTTGGGGGGCTTGGCTTCCACAGAAGACACTTTGGCAAATGCTGGTGTAGGTGTGACAAGGCCAGGGTTGTCCACCTTCACTGTGGTTTTGAAAAAGGCAGGGCACTTGAGATGGGGCATCATGAGGTACCACTGTGGTTTGTTGAGTTGTTTGTGAGTCTTCCACCTCTCCTATTTCTCTTTCCCCAACTGATTTTCTACACATGCTTCTGTCATGATGTTGTCATTCACATGTTAATGTTTCTAGTTCTCTATTCTACACTCTTGAGTCTTCCTCTGTGGTCTGTTCAATAGGAAGGGTAGATGTGGAGGCCATGTTCCCTCTTATTTCTAAGCAGAGCTGCCTGGAGCTCATGCTCATGGGTGCTGGCCCAGTGCTTTCCGATGTGACAGTGATGATGGGCCATCTAAGTTACCAAGATGGTGCCCGGAGGGGTTGGAGGGGGGGCAGAGAGACCATGGAGGCCAAGAGAGGAAAGAGACTCTAGGGAATCTGTATTTTTTTGCCATGGTCCTACCACCTACTTAGGTTGACTGTTAACAGGTCACCTAGTTTCCCTGGAGCTGAGTTTTTCTTGTATAAAAGGATTCTTCTAGCCCTGTAGTTCCCTGACTCAGTATTTCTGCTTATTGCCCTGATGTTTCCTCCTAATTTTTCATTTCTTTCTTTTTTTTCTTTTTTAATTTTCAGCTCTTAACCATTGATGATAATTTCTGCGGCCTGGATATGAATGCCCCCCTGGGCGTGTCTGAGATGGTGCGTGGCATTCCCGTCTTCACGGAGGACAGGGACCGCATGACTTCTGTCATTGCCTACGTCTACAAGAATCACTCTCTGGCCTTCGTGGGCACCAAAAGTGGCAAGCTGAAGAAGGTAGGAATGAGATGCCGTCGTTTTGGTTATTGTGAAGGCAATCTATCCCCGCCGGGATAGACATTATCTCATGCTTTCTTACTACTTTGGGCCTGGTGGGCAAGTGATACAAGTTTGAGCTAAGGAGATACGTTGCTCTTGAAGTCATGAATGACAACCTGCCCCTTCTCTGCCTCAAGGTGGAGGGTTATCGTGGGCATCACAGTGGGTGAATGTGCAGACTTACTTCTTCCCTAGGGCTGGTATGCACGTGGAGGAGTTACCCCGGCCTCACTAGGCCATCCTAAATGGTGTGCTCTGTCCACCTTGGGTTCGTGCGCTAATGCAAAGGCTTTCTAAGGGCTGGGTGACTGGGGAAGGTGGGCAGGGGCGAGGAAGGTACCTTTTCCTCTCGCCTCAGCCCTTTTGACTGGTGCATCCATCTGGAATCCATGCAGGGAAACAGATGGGGGGAAATTCAGGACCTGCTAGAGTTGGCGACAAGGCTAAGAGCCAGATCATGGGGTGAGGAAACCGTGGATATGATTGGAGCATAGAAATTGTTTGAGGTGGAGTAGAATGGTGTGATCTGAGACATGAGCCTTTCCTCCTCGTCCTCCAGAAGTTGCTCGCCTCAGGTGCTGGCTGATGTTGGCCCATCAGCAGTTTGGGGGCACCTTTCTATCCAGGACTCTTCTCTCACCCGTTATCCTTCTCAAGCTTCTCATCTCAACGAGTTAGAGCTGGTGCCCTCAAGAGCCCCCTTGATTGGATCAAAAGCCTTCCTAAGACTAAGCAGTATGTCCTGTTTTATGTTGACTGATAGTCTTGTCCCAGGGAAATATTGGTGAACCCACGTGGAGCTCCTGCTTGTTTTATTTAATAGGCTTCCCTTGGAATTCTCTGGATATTGTGTGATTTACATCGAGAGAGTGGCACTGCCAGACCTGAGACAGCCTTGAGTTCTGCTTTCTCTTTGCCGGGTTCCTGGGTATTAGCTGGACACGGTCAAGGGGAAGTGCTTTTGGCAAATCTGGAAGACTTTGCCGACTCTCCCATCCTACTGTGTAATGGCCTGGCAATAATTTCTTTCTTTAAATTCTACAACTCTTAGAACAGGCAGCGGGGCTGGTGTGTGAGAGTACGGAGGGGGAGAGCCAGGGGGAGGTGTGTGTGCGTTGGGAGATGTGTGGGGAGTAGTTGCATGGGTAGTATCTGGAAGAGGAAGCCCGTGTTGGTGAAATGCCATAATGCTCCACAAGGATGATGCAGGCGGTGTGCTACCGTCTGGTACTGCCCAAAGAGGTAACCAGGAAATTGTAGTGTATGGCCTTACACGTCTAAACAATGACTAATTCAACCATCATCTACATAGCTTTAAGAATTATATTTCATAGTTCCCTGCCTCTCTGTGAAGAATGTATTAAACACAGTTGAACGTTTTGTTGCTACCTTGGCCTCCTTGTTGTGATTACTGCTCACGCATCGAAATGAAGCTGGTGGACGCCCAAGAAGATGCCGCGTGCAAGGCGTAGATGCGTTGTCCTGGCACGACTCCTGTGTCTGGTTGTCGCTGCCTCCTGCCTCTTCCTTTAGTGCACATCGTCGCTCGTCACCTCCAGCTGCTGTCAGGAACCCTGGGCGACTCCGGTCTTTCTTCTTCCCTTCATCTGTGGCTTCTAGCTTTCTGTGAGCTGAGTGTCCAATATCCAAACTTGCTGAAATTGTGTCCGCTAAGCCTCAGTATAAACCGAGGAGGGAAGCACCCAAGCTTTGGAGCAGGGGCCTCGAGGGTGTTTCTGTTGGGTGCTCAGATGGTTTCATTCTTTGTTATGATTCAGTGAGTTTGGTTTGCTAGAAAAGTGAGTTCTAAATACCAAAGACATTCCCATATGCAGTTCATACAATGAAATGTCTGTTGACCTGCTCCGCCTGGCCCGATGGGTGAATAAGCACTATTGAGAGTAAAAAATAAGCAAGACAATTTGGGCTGCCTTAACTCTTCTCTCTAGTGAGCCCTGTCTCTGTGCAATGGAGAAGTAACTTACCTCAGTATGCTAAAAGATTCCTGTCCATTGACCTTCCTACTCGGTGCAGCAAGATCATTTACTTTCTGGCAAGACTGAATAGATCCTGGAGGAGGCTTTTTTTTTTTTTTTTTTTTTTTTGGTCATTGAGCTGGTCAGAATATGGTGTCCATGAAATAAACATTGATTGAGAGTTCAGTGCACATAACAGAACAGTTATTCTCTCTCGGGGGAGAAAAAGAGACATGCTCCCTGGCCATGGCTGCATTGGAAACCCAAGACAGTCAACTTGCAAATATGTGCTGTTGGTCCGCGGGTGGATGGAGGTCAGTGGGGGCTGGCTCTCTGGTGCCCGTGGAAGCCTGGCCCCTGATGGGGAGGTCAGAGTGCAGCAGATCCCCATGACGGTGGCTGAGGATGCCTCTAGGAATCTGGGCACACAGAGCGCACAGGGACAATCCTTGTGGGGTAGGCTGTAGGCAGATCCTTGCCTTCAGGTGTCCCGGGAGGTCGGCCCAGCCAGCAACGACAGGCATCTGACCAGGAGGCTCGAGACTTTATAAACCTCCGCCGGCATTTCCCATTTTTTACTTTGGGGAGTTTATATAAGAACAGTTCTGTTTCAGCCACCTGGGATGTTCCATTTAATTTCCCGAGCAGTGGTGGGATTGGTGAAGCATAAACATTTGAGAGGTAAAGAGCAGAGAGGGTCATGTGGGGGGAATGAGCCAGCGGTCCTCCTGGGGAAAGCTGGGCCATCGGGGCAGCTAAACTTTCTGCTCCATGAGCTCAGAGTGGCAGACTTTTTAATAGTTTTGCTGGAGCTCAGCTACTGCCGCTGCAGACTCAGCACAGCCGGCCCAGGGGACAGTCGGAGTTGAGAAAGGAAGGCTGGGCCTCCGAGTCTGTTGTTTGAAATAACAAAAAGCAAAACTGGCCAGTTTATTTATTTTTTCTGAACAATAGAATTTCCCACCACCCCTGCTCACTGAGCACTAACCACTCCCCTTTCCTTGCCATGACTCTGTATTGCTTTTCCCAGAGGTTATCAGACCACATTCACCTTTTGGGCAGAGGCCCAGCCATGAAATGCTTTGGGGCTACAGGAGGATTTTGCGGGAAGTTTTGTGAGCTACTGCAACCAGGGGGTGAGAATAATGCAGATCACACTGTAGCCATAATTACAGAGTTGTCTTCTCCGAGCCCTGTAATAATCTCCTGTGTGTATCAAGGGCTTCGCAGGGTTCTTTGCAATATGACAAGGGACTCGAGGTGGGGAGGGTGGGTGGGAGGGCTTGGGGGTTTGCTGTGGGTTTCGGGGTCTGGGAGCTAGACTGTAGCTATCCATAGGCTGCCCTCAAAATTACTGACTTTTCCTTTTGTTTGAAAGGTGTGGGTCCCCATCATTTGCAACCTAGCCTCTGATGACCATAATTTCACTCTTTTAGCACACACATCACATGAGGCAGAGGGAAAGGAGGTGAGGAAAGTGCCAATTTGGATGTCTTTTATGTTTTCCGGTATGTGAGTGTGTGTGTGCGCGTGTGCGTGTGTGTGTATGTTATGGCTAGTATTGGCAGCTTTTTCATGGTGAGCATTACAGGCAAGTGCTGGTAAGCAATGTGACATATAAATGCTGACATATAAATAGACACCAGGAGGTACCTAGGAACTTAGAAATGACCAACAGACTGTTAAAATTTCACCTGCAGGTAAAAAATCTTAAGGCAAACACCATCCCGATCTGCTTTAGGGTGTCTGTATAAACCTGACAATCTTTGTCCCAAGATGGGGTAATGAGGTCAGTGTGACAAAAATCTCTTTGCTTAAATACTTGGGCTGGAACCCTCTTTCCTTGCCTCTTGCATTCCTACCACTAAGTGATCCTATTTTATGGCTGCTGTTCAGCAGTGAATTACTGCCTGACATTAGTGGGAGAGACTAGTGTTCATTGTGAGCCAAAACATCGTAAACTTCCACTTGACGTGTGATTGCTCCTTTCATTTGGTGAATGCATCGTTCCTGAGTGTTTCGCTAGGTTAAACTATTCACACCTAAGGGGCGGAGTACTTTGTGGATACTGGTTAAGCAGAAGTCTGGCTGGCCCAGCCACTGGCTTGTAGTATGATATGTACCCAGGTGTGTGACATACCAAGGCTTACCAGCCTCTCGTGATAGGAATTGAGTGTGTGTCTGCATGGAACGTCAATAGGAGTCGATGTCACAAAAGAATCATTCTCATTGGGAATCATTATGCACATTAATTTAATCTGCCTATTTTTTTTTTCTTGACCCTGTTTTGAAATCAGTTTGCTTGTGTTCCATATCCCCTGATCATGGATCAAGAAAGGCAAATAAACAGAAGTAGAGTGGGGTAGAGGGAGACCCACCTGGGTCTGTGTCATTCTGACCATAAGTTCTCAGCAATGGATGCTGTGTGTGTGTGTGTGTGTGTGTGTGTGTGTGCGCGCGCGCGCGCCTGCACGTGATGCTCACATCAAAGAGCAATATCAGATTAGAGATGTATAGCCCCTGCTTTGCAACTTCCTGAATGTGTCTGAGAATTCTTAATATTCACCTGGAAATCTGAATCAACTTTAAAACTAAATTCATGCCATAGAAAGGACTCCCAAGTGGGTGAAGACATCACAAAATCAGATGGAGAGGTAGTGTTGGAATTCAAACTTGCCTGGGGACCCTGAGATTAGAGCACAGGTGCAGATATCTGGTAAAGGACTTGGTCAGTGAGCTCTGCAGAGCTGCTGGCTAGTTTGCATGTGCTTAGGCACTCAAGCAGAAGGGAAAAGAAATATGGAAGAATCAATGCTGGACAATTTCCATTATGGAAAAAGACCATCAACGCATTTTTGTCTGATTGTTTTGTCATGTTGTTTTTGCACTTCCCACTGCTGGCTTTGCAAGTATGAAGCCTGTATAGATCTTAAGCCATGGGTTAAGTGGAGAGGAGCTGAGGTTGAAGGAGCTGCAGACAGA